GTTTACAACCTGGTACAAAAAACAGATTTAGCTAATTTCAACATTCATGACAACTGTACGGGGGGATTAATTTTTCTTTATACACACTTGTTTACATTTTATCAAGACTAAAATTACATATATTTAAAGGCGGGGCCACTTTCAGTTGAAAAAAATAACGATAACCATCATATTATCTTGGCAGCATGGTGGTGCAGTGGTTAGCATTGTCACCTCACAGCAAGAGGGTTCCTGGCTGTAGTACGGTACGGCTCATTTCAGTTCAGTACGCTTCTTTTCTGTTCCCACCAGAGATGGGGGACTCGAGTCACATGACTTGACTCGAGTCAGACTTGAGTTGCAAATACGATGACTTGAGACTTGCTTGACTAATGTTGATAAAAGACTCGACTTGACTTTGTATTCATGACTTGAGACTTGACTTTGACTTGAGACAGATGACTCAAAAGGACTTGGCTTTAATTCGATATTAAAGGCACGTTAATCACCATTGGGCGTCACTTCTGTTTACGTTCAACAGTGTTATCAAACACAACGGAGCTAGCTTGCCCCTCCCCTCGTCCTCTGTGACTCTGTCATGAACAAGCGATAGCTGCTGGTTAACCTGGATTTATACACCTTCAAGGGATAGTGCACCCAACATGAAAAAATTCAGCCATTATCTACTCACCCATATGCCGAGGGAGGCTCAGGTGAAGTTTTAGAGTCCTCACATCACTTGCAGAGATCCAAGGGGAGAGGAGGTAGCAACACAACTCCACCTAATGGAGGCTGACGGCGCCCCAGATTCAAACGTCCAAAAACACATAATTGAAACCACAAAATATCTCCATACTGCTCGTCCGTAGTGATCCAAGTGTCCTGAAGCCCCGACAAAAAAAAGTTGTTTGGAAAAACCTCATTTGAACTCTGTTTTTAGCCTCATTGTAGCCTGTAGCTCTGACTGCCTCTCTGCGCTCTTGTGTGCGCAGTTGCACGAGACTGTGAGACATGGGCACTGCATTCATGTGTGTGTGCTGGCTTTCGCTGGTCTCGCGCTGGCTAGTTAGTGCAGCCTGGACCCAAATGTTTTTGTTGCCATTTGCGGAGCCTAGGCTGCCTACAGAGACCGGACTTTTTCACAGCATATTCAGAGGACATACTAGCAGATTGTGAGGAGATGTTCGCTGTATGTGACATATGACTTGACTTGTGACTTGCTTGACCTGAGCAATGACTAGGGATGGGTCACGATTTTTGATTTTCGAATAGTCGTTTTATTTTTGAAAAAGCGATTTTTTAATGCGACTATTACTATTCGCCGTCTTATTTCCCCCCCTTTATTTGACATGCAATTCAGCTCCTAACCGCACGAGGGCAGTCTAGGATTACTACAGCGGTGTGAGATGCTCTTCTACAAACAGGAGAAACATGCAGAGACTACAACTCCATGAGGAATGTCAGCAGTCATACGGGCTTTCATAGTAAAGCGCACTTCCGAGTTGTAGTTTCCTGTAAAAATGTCCGTGAAAAATCCCCGCGATGTGAAAAATACATGCCGAGCAGTCACTGGTGTGCACGCACAGGGCTTGCAGATGTCCGCTTTGAGTCCGCGCAGACCTCCGTGGAGTCCGTTCCGCCCGGGGGGGGGGATTATTCGAAAAACTGTCGAATACTTGCCACGATTTTCGAATAGTGTTTTTGCTTGTGTTGCCCATCCCTAGCAATGACTTGACTTGACTTATAGCAGGGACTTGATTTGCTTAATTCTCACCACAACTAACATGGGACTTGCTTGAGACTTGAAGGTAAAGACTTGAGACTTGAAGGTAAAGACTTGAGACTTGCTTGTGACTTGCACATGTGTGACTTTCTCGCATGTCTGGTTCCCACAGTAAAAGTTGTGGATGGTACCAACAGAAGCGTTCCTTAGCGTCCCCATGTTTGGTCCCCCCTCTGTTGGGGTACCTAGCACACAGATCTGGTACTAAAAGGTGGAGCTAGAAACCCTGCAGTCTGATTGGTCAGTAGAGGACGCTCACTCTGGTTTTATGTAACCTCTGTTCATACATCAGTAAACTACAACTATAAAATGAAAGAGAAAAAAATAACTTCATTCACTGGGCCGACTGCCGGCAACTTTTAAGGTGGAACGTTAACTTGTAATGTTACTCAATGCATGAGTTGATGACGTGAATCCATCAGCACACCTTAAATTTCACTGTGACAACTTTGACCATCACTTTAGTTTTTATATGACACACACTTTTAGTAATGACTTTAAAAATATAGATTAATTTGGAGCGGATTATGTGAAGGTCATATATTCTAATCCTCACTTCCTGTGGGCTACAGCAACACTAAACCCCTGAGCTTGCCTGAGAAGGACTAAATGCACAAATCCCCCTTTGTTTTTTTACAATAGTGGTCTGTGGTCTGGTTAAAGAGAATTCATGGCGAAAAGAAACACTGACTGTTTGTAGAGGATGTGAAACATGGTCCCATTTGTGCTGCACACCCAATCATCCACTTCTCACTACTCGTCGAAAAACAACCAATGCTGACATTTTTTTCTGAAAAGGACAATCTCAATAGAACATCCTCTGCTCTGCTTAGCACTGTAGCTACTTGAGGAAGCAGCGAGGAAAGCACTCTCCAGGCTTGCATCTCTACCCCGCCCTCCTCCTCTTCTCTTGCTCCACAGCCAAACACACTCTGAGGTTGGATTAGAAAATCAAAGCTTCTAGTCTCCATGAACAAGCATCCCCTGCTGCTGCTTCTTACTGCCATTGTTTTGCATGCTGTGATGGCTGCTAATCAGGCCTTGGTCTCCTTCTCTTGAAATGCTTTGATATATGTTTAGGACTTGATGATTGGAGTGCTGTGATGGTGTGTTTTGGAGTTACTGGGGTTCTGAAAGGAAGATTCCGGTATATTTCCATCTAATGTATTTCCCATATGTGTAGCCATTGTGACTCTGAGTCGCGCTAACTTTGCACTTGCCCAACACATCCTCACTCCGACCTCGTCACATATTGACATTTGCTCATGGACCTTCCATGTTGAGATATGAAGTGCAAGGTACCCTGGGTGTGTTGGTTGTTGACGTTCTGGGACGCCGTGTCAACCTCAGATTTCAAAATACAGTCTCTGCATACAGTCTCTCAAAATAAACGCACTGCGTCACAAATTGGCATTTTTTCAATCAACACACGCACATGGTTGGGTTCATGAAAAAGAACAGGGTTGGGTTTACAATCTTATGAGAAGCGAACTCTGGCCTTCTCGGTTAAAGTCGGTGGTTGTTGGACCTATCCACCACCCCACCTGCTCGCCCTACTCGGACATCTGCCGCCTTCATTTTCATTGTTGACCCACAGTATTTCCCCTGACGCCACTGGGCACCTTTAAACAATAATGGCAAGCGTATCATGCCAACATGAAAGGAGGGCTTTTTTTGTTGATGTCTGATGCCAGAAGTCACTGCCCAACAGACGTTGCGCTAGACTTTTTCGTCGCCGGTCATTTTGACAGACAGGGTCATAAAAATCCGGTCATAATCTATTTTTACCGGTCATTTTAATTTTCATTTTTAAATGATAATAAAGATATTCAAAGACATTTAATTTTCATTCGTTCGTATTTAATAAATCCAACAAGCAAGTTATAAAGTGTGCATTAATAAGGACATGAACGAAAAGATGAACAGACATCCACACACCCGTGCCATTAGGCTTCGCCCTGGACACACCGGACGTCACTAACGCGTCCGGTGTGTCCAGGGCGTTATGTAGTTATGTCTGTAGGCTCGGTGACACAAAATTAAAATTGTAATGAAGTGATTATGGTATTGAAAAATGTGTTCGGTTATGCACTGTTGTGTTATTTTAAATCATAAACATGGTATTTTCTCCTCACGTTCCTCACTCAGTGCGTGCTGTTATTTTATTTTGAAAATTGGCCGGATTCTCTCGTCTTTTCTGTGTCCGACTTCCTGTTTGGTACGATCCGCTCTATCCAGCTTGACAGAAGCGCTCGCGGCTCGCGTGAAAAATAGACCAGACGCCGAACTGAAGCGCTGCCTCCGCGGGCGCTCCGCTCTGCTCAGCGGCCTGTGTGGACAGTCAGATAGGTTAACATGGGCGCTGACTGAAAACTGCCTCCGCTGCTGGGCGCTGTTCCTCGGTTCCGCGTCCGGTGTGTCCAGGGCGTTATGTCAACAACGCTACATGAAGCAGATGAATGACCTTTTCTCTGCAGTGTGAAAACGGCAGCCACTTAAACCACTGACTGTGCACTCCGCCGCCAAGTGGGCAGGGGTGGTAATTGCAACCGATCAAAATGACCGACGGCCTTCAGATTTTCCAGTCATTGTTGTAAAAAACCAGTCAATGACCGAGAATATCCGGTTAACGTGACCCCTGCTGCCCAAGTACCAGTTTTGAGCGACTTCAGAGTGAGACCTGGTTGACTTGCCCGCTCCGTTGTAGACATTCAGGGAAACAAGGAACTGTGCGTCATCATGCACTGGGGCAAGCACCCTCAAAATAAATGTGAATCCGACACAAATCATTTCAAACACTTGTCTTTATGTCCCACCCAAAGTAATCACAGGAGGCAGCTGCCTGGAATGGCCATTGTGGCTAACTGCATAGAAATCTACAACTCGGGCAGAGTGCAACCTTAGCACGACCCAGAGACAAAGTGGTCACATTTATGGGAAGTACAGCAGGGGGAATAATGCCAAATTATCAGATTTGAAACTCCTGTTTTCTTGAATTGAGTGAAAACCACCTTAAACAATAAGTTATTTGGACTCTTCCCTCATAGATATATTTGTGGCTTAAGTCTACGAGTCACATAACTCTACGAGACATCATAAGACTCTTCTAGCTACTGATGGCTGCTTTCCAAAAGTCTCAAATTAGTTCTGAGGGATTCGTCCAAATAAAAATGTCCTGATGGACCAACTTAAAAATCTTATTTCCACCGTCCTGATTCTCTTTCTCTCCTCCTCACAGAATCACATCGCCTTCGCTGAGGTCACATGACGTGGAGTCGGCCGTGTGGCAGACCCATTGGACGTCCACGCTCTTCACCGTCCAATCCAGCTAACAGGAGTGCAGCGCTAAAATCCATTCTCTGTGTGTGTCTGGTCTGCGGTATGTTGTTCTATGTTGTCTTTATCAGGCCCCTGTTGTCATTTGCAGCTTCGTGTATTCAACGAAAAAAAAAGAAAGAAAGAAGAGTCAGTAACCCGGCGGGACAGGCCGCTTCTGCTTTCTCCATCTATGCACTTATTCTGAATTCTTGTTTGACTCTCGCCTCCCAAATGAAGCTTGTTGAGAGGCAAACCTGGAGCGGACTTGTTGCACACTGTGGGACACTAGAGGCACAAGTGAAGAACTGGATTGCACCATCTCAACTCTGCCAAGGTCAAATATGTTCTCATGCTTTGGTTTTGTTGTGTGCAAAAAGAGAAAGATGAAAACCCTCTTTTGTCCTGTTGCTGACGTTTTGATTTTGTTGTCATCACCTTTATACCGTTCAAAAGACTGTTGTGAATATCAGATTATGACAGTGACAGCTGGGCCCATATTTATCAAACTCATTAATGAGAAATTCTGGATTTAAATGAAAGATAAAAAATAGTTCACTCACACATAAGAATAAAAGCCATTAATATAACTCTTTAGTCAAAGAAAGCTTTATTTCCATTTGCAGTATTTAATTTGGTGGTATGGCTCTGTTCTGGGACCACTCCGCACTTCCACGTGCCTACTGTACGTGGAAAGCCTTAAGGCAGAGAGAACAAACCTCCCTGCCCTTCCATGTGTCTCCATGGAAAGTCTAAGGCAGGGAGAGCAGCAGCAAAAACCCCTCGGGAACAGATAGAGCAGCATCAATGACAAACAGAAATGACATTGATAACTCAGACACAGCATGAAAAGGAGGAGCTGGGGTAGAGGCAGGTTGCAAAGCAGCTCGCAGAGGAAGCAGCAACAGTAGGCAGGACAGAGCAGTTTAAATAGGGCGCCATGAATGAGATTTGCCAACTGGTTGCAGAGAAAGGAATCTTGTGATCTATCAGCTGACTCCCTTCATCAATCAGCTGGAGATCAGCTGATGTAGCTGGGATGTGAGCTGAGCTTGACATTGTGTCCTGCCTGAACTAACGCTGTGCTCAATTTTTGTGAGCCTGTCCCGGCAGGAAATGCAGCGATGTCTCTGTAAAAAACATTTACTTTTACTGGCTAAAAAAATGTGGGTGCTGCAGCAAGACTCACCTGAAAACAACTGGGTTTGTTGTTTGTTGGTCTCGAGCAGTGGTCTGCAGGCTCACTGATGCGTCACCTAGGTGCCACGCCATCCGCCATCCCTTTCAACACCGATAACAAAGTCAGCTCAAATGCTGATATGATACATATGAAATGTACAGATGTACAATGCCAACATTTTCTTCTGGTGACTGGGCTGTTCTCTCCCTCACCATCAGTCAGTTTGCAGTCAGTCATGAGACGGGAATCTACAGCTCCAGTTTGTCTCTTGAAGCAACCTTTTGTCTGGTTAGTGACTGAGCTAGTGGGCTTGCTAACTGGCAGTTAGCTTGCTAGCTAGTTGTGAGCAGTTATCAGTTAGCTTGCCAGACAAGCAGTTCACCAACTAGACCCAGGTGGTTCCTCCAAGCCTCCTGCACCACCTATTTAAAAGGGCCTGCAACTGAACTTTGCTGCGCTGCCTCTTGTATTGGGCAGGCACAAAGGCTGGAATTAATTTGTTTTCTGTTTCTTTCCATAAACCTGTTACTCTTCATCACTTTTTCTAGATTCGTCTTTTCATGTTTTCTCAGATGTACAAGTCGTAGGAGCAGCAGAATTTCCTCCATGGCTCCAGTTTGGTCTTCTTTTGTTTCCATTAAACAATTTCCTCTAAATTCAACGATGCTTGTTATTAAGGCTGTAACATGCTTCTCCCACCTACTCCCTTTTCTACATGGCCCACAGAGACATTTAACTGTATCATTGGAAAACAGACTCAGTCCCTTTGTGTCTTTGTAAATTATAATCATAATGGGTAAAACTAATTTAGCTGGCTAAATGTTTTGGCACAGACAAAGGTACTTTCATGCCAGTAAAACTGCTGTGTTATCAGGAGTGAAAAATAACCCTTATGAGCCAGCTTGAGACAGCAGGGCCTCAGAGTTCAAAAGACAATGCTTGTCTAGCAGTGAGGGTTTCTTGCAATGAACATGTTGAGACATCGTGCCCTCTGCCCACCCTCCAGTCACCAGTGGTAAGCTAATGTTAGCCTCGGCTGCTCTGTGCTATGTGCATAGACTGTATATAAAGATGGAAGACATGACAGCTCCGAAAAGTGAAGCCAGATCATCTGGATGTCTGGCTGCAGTATATAAACTGCGTCCTGTCATGTTAGCAGATGGGACATGGGCCAAACTAAAAACAAACTTTTTCCAAAGATGGTTTCTGTCATTTCGGTAGCTCTTATCTCGCTGATGTTTGTTCAAGTACTTGTTGTTCTGATCATTTTGGTTGTAACAAGTATTCTGATGTCAAAAAAGGGGGATTCATTACCAAAGGTGCTGCTCACAATTGGTCGGACCGGTGTACGGACGGGAGCTTGATACTGTGCAGACTCTGGCTCTCAGTGACGTCACAGGCTCCAGATTGCAGCGGCTGTATCCAGGATGTTTTGGCTCCATTTTTGTACAGTGGGTGAAAGCGGAGGTGCGTGATCCATCTTCACAGTCTGACTGCACACTAGCCATGTTGAGTGGAAGCTAGCTAGCACCGCGACTCATTTGCAGTTACTGCTGGTAACGCCAGCCAGATAGTAGGACGACGTTGGTGGTGACACTGGTTTTCCCCCTTGGTCGCCCCGCTGAGCAAGCGCCCTCATTTTGCACCGCAACCTCCTTTTAGCATAGTTAAAGAAGTCCAGTATTTTGCACTTTGAGCCCCATTTCTGTGTTGTTTATGATGAAATAGAGCGGCTCAGACCAAAATAGTGATGATTGCTTCTTTTCAGAGAATTTGTCTTTTCCCTGCCTGGCTTAACACTGCTGCCTATGGCCATGTGTGAACCTGTCCTAAAACCACCCTAAATGTTTGTTTTCCAAGCCATGAAACTCACAGAGTGGTCAGTGGTGTTCGTTGATGTTCTGAGAAGAAGGTTGGCGCTGTGTTCAAAAGCATCGTTCAGCGAAGGTTGTTTACAAGCGAGAAATCCTTTGTGCAGTTGTTTGAACTTATTAAAAACACTTTTTAGTTCGTTCTCGTTCTTCCTCCAGGAGCGCACACAGCACTGTCGAGATGGCATTTTCGCTGAGCTAAAAGACTACAGTAGCTATGTTTCCATCCAAAAGTGATTTGAATCATTGGGAAATGTGCATTAAAAGAAATACAAATCCTGTGTGTTTCCATTAAATGAACGGACTTTGGTGAAAACTACGAACTTGCGCAAGTTTTCCGCAGAACCAGAAACAAACACTGTTTTCTGGCGGTTGGCAACCAGCTTGTAAATTACCGCCTTCCCGACCCAGAGTGTGGATATCACCATGGAGAGAGGTGCGCTACGTCAGACTTAATTCAAACATAACTGTTTCCATACCCCGTTTTGCGAATCAGCATTTTTTCGAATCAACCAAAACCCGGCTAAAGCGAGCGTATTTTAGTTTAGGGATTTTAATTCGAATTTTGGCGTTTCCATCATAATTTTCTGATGCGATACTTCTAGATGCGCATCTAAACAGGCTGATGGAAACATGGCTAATGACTACAACCTTGTCGTAAACAACCCCCTTTCCCTGTCCAGTGGCGGATTACTACCAATGGACAATGAGGCTTCTATAGAAAACCAGTGGATTAGACAAAATGTCAAATAAATCATCACGGAAACCACAGTTTGCTACGATTTTTATGTCAGAACATCTACGAACACCACTGACCAGTCGAAAATTAATGTTTAGGGTGGTTTTAGGACAGGTTCACACATGGCCATAGGCAGCAGTGTTAAGCCAGGCAGGGGAAAGACAAATTCTCTGAGAAGGAGCAGTCATCACTATTTTGGTCTTAGCCACTCTATTTCATCATAAATAACCTAGAAATGGGGCTCAAAGTGCAAAATACCGGAGTTCTCCTTTAACTATATTAGCACCACTAGCTGTGCTAACACTGCTAACGGTGCTAACAGAGCTAACAGTGAAGTTAATAATGCTAAAGGGGGTTTGCTGCTCAAATTTAAGCCACATAATCACAAGGGCAACCTGGTGGGAGACCGGAGAGAGAGCAAAATCTTTCCACGGCAATGCTCTTCACTTTGGACGGCGTTACTGGTTGTAATTGCAGACCGAAGCCGCTAGCTAGCTCCCACCAGACACATTTGGTGTGCAGTGCAGAGCAGCCAAGCACAACTGGGCAGTAGGCGCTATGTTTCTGCATATTAACATCATCTTAACTGAAGAGCAAATTAACTTTTAGACCGACATGGGTCAAGAATATTCTTGGCGGTTAACCTTTGACCTACTTGGAACTTTGATAAATATGGGCTCAGGTCAAAGTAGCAAATTAGAAAAACTGCATAACTTAATGTCTTTTTATTTATGTCATTTATTACTGCTGACGTCTCTATAAGGGTGTGGGGTGTGTGTATATCTGTGTATGTGTACAATATACAGTATATACAGTCAACTTCAACCAATGAAAACACTGTACACTCTTTATTCTAACAAAACCGTCAAAGGTTTCTTAGCCGCACCAGACAATCACCACCTCTCTCTTTTTCCTTTTATCTCTCTTTCTCTCTTCTTTTGTAGTTATAAATAGGTGTTGGGTGTGTGCTATGAGGTGTAGTAGTCCAACACTGTTCATGACAAATAGACATGGTGAAAAGAGCACACAGTCTCTGCAACCCATTGTCAAAAGAATGCAATTAGCTTTCTGTTATTCATGTGAAGGCTAAAAAATACGATGGTCAGCATGACTCACAGGCCAAAACTGAGATTTTTATGCATTTATTAGTCGGATGAAAATCCCTACTCATCTTACTTCTGATGTTTTCTGCTGTGTCAAATCAGGTTAGAGTCATGTAAGCAAATCTACAGTTGAGATTTTTCCTCCTCTTTTCTCAGAGAAAGGATTTATCCATGGCCTGTGTCTTCAGTATCAAACAGACATGGAGACGTGCTGGGCTGCCTTCACAGTCGCACTGGGGAAAGGCAGTCTCTGTAGTTCCATGTCACAGCCAATCAGTACATGAACGTCTTTGATCATCAGATGGGCTACAAGTTTTGTTGTTGCACTATTTCTTCTCTAAAAGTTCTATCACATAGCTCAGTGTGACGTTAAACATGAAAGAAAAGCTGCTCTGCAATCTGGTTTCAGTTACATTTAATCATCAGTTATTATTCCTCATAACAGATATGATGCAGTTTGTTTTGATGTACAGTACAGGCCAAAAGTTTGGACACACCTTCTCATTCAATGCGTTTTCTTTATTTTCATGACTATTTACATTGTAGATTCTCACTGAAGGCATCAAAACTATGAATGAACACATGTGGAGTTATGTACTTAACAAAAAAAGGTGAAATAACTGAAAACATGTTTTATATTCTAGTTTCTTCAAAATAGCCACCCTTTGCTCTGATTACTGCTTTGCACACTCTTGGCATTCTCTCCATGAGCTTCAAGAGGTAGTCACCTGAAATGGTTTCCACTTCACAGGTGTGCCTTATCAGGGTTAATTAGTGGAATTTCTTGCTTTATCAATGGGGTTGGGACCATCAGTTGTGTTGTGCAGAAGTCAGGTTAATACACAGCCGACAGCCC